TTTTTTTTCTAGCTATTTTTCAGTGCTCTGACTTCCGCTCCCTGTAGATGAAAATTAAGCCTATGGTCCACTTTGTAAAAACAAAACAAAAAAGTGTGAGGCACACCCACAAACACATTTTTGTAACTCACTGCGACAATGTAGTGCGATTCTCTAATAGGATCTGTTTTGCTGTTTGAAATGTAAGTGAGTCACACGCCTCATACCACAAATATATGACACCGATAAATCCCACGCAGTTTCACTCTCGGTGCGTGTTTGTGTGTGTGCGTGTTTGTGTGTGTTTCATGGGAAGGGAGGAGGGCCCTAGACAGACAGCGTGGCTGCATTGTCGCAGCAGCAAGACAACTTGTCCAGTCGACCAGCAGTTTAGCTGGTCATAACATCCTCAGGTTGAGTCCCCGTGACCGGACAGGCAGGTCTGTCTTTACTTACTGTGTGGCTTATAATTCAAAACAAAAGCGAGCTGATTGTCAGTGCGGGGCTGCTGTCACGGATAGCTGGCGAAGAAGCTGACAGACGGATAACAGCCTGCTTTGACCGGCGCCGGGAGCCACCGTTGGGAACCGGAGGGGTTGGCTAGCAGGAAAGCTGGCTAACTGGCATTAGCCGGGGGAAGCCTTTTAGCGCACGAACACGTCGCCGTGTTGACGCCAAGCCATATGGGTAGGTTCTTCCATTAAATTAGCTATATCTGCACCCCTCATTAGACACACGACCCGTTCTTTATATTGGGAATATATTTTTCCCCAACACGGTTCACTATTAGCTATTAGCTAACGTTAGAAGAAGGGGGCTAACATTAACAATTACCAGTCTGGCGTACATTAGGCGAATGATAATGTTTGTAGTTCCTCAGAGGCGGAATGGTTATAAACGCTGTTGTCGAGACTGTGTAATTGTTTTATCTATAGCGTGAAACGTTGTAAAGTAGTTGTCATCTCTGAGCTGTCATTCCCAAACACAGTGTTAGCTAACCTGCTGCTAGGCAGTGTGAATCACTCGAATTGCTGCTGATGCAGGCTGTGTGTTGTTGTTTGTGTTATGATTTTCTCCTCAAACATTTCAGTGACAACGTGAAGATGGATTGAAACATGAAGGGTGGAACTGCCCCATCGTCCAAATAGGAGGGCGTTTTTCTAAGGTATGTTTCACATTCATCTCCCGGTGTCTCAGTCTTCTGTTCACTGTCCAGCAAAGACGCTATATATGTAATATAGTCATGTCTCCGGTAACTGATAGTTGAATCGGTAAAGCTCACTCTGTAGACTGAGGAAACTAGATGTCAATCACTGTTTGCCCATAGCTTCCTTTGTTTTGCAGTGTGGTGCAACTGGCCAAACCTAGTGTTAACCACAGGGCTATTGAGCTGATTGTTGTAAAGACCGAGCATATGTTTGATCTTGCCAGCCTGCTGTGGCTAGCCCACACATCTATTGTATAGTTGTGACAGTATTCAAAGCAAGCTTGTGTCTAGGCCAGTGTTTCCCCTTGCCCCACATCCTGTGTTGTGAAGAAGCTTCCTCTTTTGTCCTGAAGTGCTTAGCTGCATCCTGATCAGGGTTACACATCGCAGAACTGCTCAATGGGTGGGTTGTTCTTACTGAGGGGTTTCTATTTTAGCTTGTTTTTGTACATATTCATGGTGCAGTTCTTTGTAAACAGAGTTTGCCGTTTTCCTTTCTTGTAACTAGCAGGCATTTTTTTCTCTCTGTCACAAACCTTAAGTTGGGCAGAGAACTTAGAGCAGCTGTAGCATTACTCCATTCAGGGGGTTTCCCCTGTTTCTACTCTTGCTCCTCTTATTTTATAACTTTGATCATTTTGTCCCTTGAATAAACTAGGGCAAAAGGCGACTGGGTGTTTGCTGTTAGGGCTTCAAGTGTGAAATTGCCTGCCTGTGGAACTCCAGCTTGCTTCATCAGTATAGTGTTGTTATAAATTTACTTGTATGTTTTCAGTTTTTAAGTTAGTCTTAATTTGTTCTTAGTAATTTAATCACACTGGAATTTATTTATTATACTACATTTGGGACATGCATGGCTCTATTTTAAATTGATATCAAAATTATCTTGTCTTCCTCCACTCACCAGTCACGGTAGATGCCTACCCCTTTCTTAGCCTGGTTCTTCTGGAGGTTTCTTCCTGTTATAAGGGAGTTTTTCCTTCCAACCATTGCCAATTGTCAATGTATTATTGTAGGATTCTTTATCTTACAAGACCCTACTGTTTGAATTGAATTGAATTGATTCATAGAATTTGGATTTTTTTTTTAATTTTATTGTGTGACTTATATGTTTTGTTTTGTTTTTTTACAGCAGTGCTGGTTTGCAATAGGTGCAAAAACATTAACCTGTCATTTAGCTCTCCAAATTTCCAATTGGTATCATACATTGAAAAAGACAAGGGGTAGTGGGTGAATGTGGTGATAAAGACCTCCACAATTAAACTCTACCTGCATACTATGGATATTTCCTGTGGTGTCCTCCCAACAAGTCAGACCCTCAGTACATTTCCAAAGTTGGGCACCAAAAGGCATCTGGCCAGATGCCTCACTCACTCACACCATGTGATCTAGACCCCAAGAGAAATGCTGCAGGCCCAGGTGCCTATTGTGTAGGGCAGTGGGATGATGTGGCAACATTGGTATTGTAAAATTAGATCAAAGTATTGCCTGATAACTCCAGTCTGATGCTCTTTGTAGCTATCACAGGCTCTATTAGTGTTTAGTGCCATCACATTCCTTAACTAACTGTTCTTTTAGAATAAAATGAGCAGTAACAGCTCCTACCTGCTTGACCAATATATTATTTTTTTTCTCAGTGAAAAAAGTTACTCTTACTACTTTTTCTAAACACTAACTAACTTAACGTTTTACTAAAAAAATTTCAAAAAGTATAATTTTTTTCCATGTAGATAGGTTTGGTTTTTTTTTGTTTGGTTTTTTTCCTCTCTTCTTCTACTTTCTTTCCTGGCTCAGAGTGGGTCTGTCTATGCCTGATGTAGTATTTGTGTTTGCTGACATAAGTAGTACTTGTCTACAGTTCACAATGGGTCTCATTCACTAATATGTGCATGGAAATGTTCTTACCCTGCACAAAAAATTTGGTGCATGCAAAATCACCATCAGATTCATGACACGTGTGCACCGCCAGCTTTGTTCTTACAACTTTGTTTGTGTTAGTGAATCAGATTCATTCCAAATCCACAGGCTTACGCTGCTGCCTGCAATTTGCATACTATCTACATGCTGCTGTGTTTCTCTGTTTATAAAGAAATACGTTTACATTTAAGTGAAGTGGAGAGCAGTGGCAGGGGCAGTGTTGTGCAGTAATAGAGAAACCAAGAAAGGAGATGAAAACTCCCTGTGGCTCGGGTAAATTAAGATAAGTTTGGACATCAGTGTTGATATTAAAAAAAATAATAAAATAAACTTAAAAAAAATAAGAAACTGATGTAGGACATGAGTAGCTGATCTGTTGGCCCAAAATGCAAATCTCACTGCAATGCTTAAAATATAAAATCCAGATTTTCCAGTGTCTGTGGGATGGTAAGAAGAAATTAGACTGTTAGTGGTGACACTCAGCAAATATAGTAATTTAAAATGAATTGTTTGTAATTCTTAATTCTGAATTTTTTGCAAAAGTATGTAAATAATTCTGTTATTATTATAAAGATGAGTTTTTACTTGTTCTAAGACAGCAGATCTTCATAATTTGTGCAAAGTCTGACGCAGTTCTATGTTTTTTATTCTTTATGAATGAATTCAGGTATGAAAATATAGATGAATCTGCATGGATCAATTTGCATGAAACATTTATGCAGACAGTTTAGAATTAAAATTTCAACAGCATCCAACTTGTATCTGCCGAGGCAAGGAAGAGCCTTTGCATAGAGGAGTCTCAAACACTGTTCTTTTTTCCACCTTCTTTTAATTTGCTTTTGGAAAGACAAAAATGTCAAACTGTGTTTTGGTAGCTTTAACTGAATCTGAATGAATAGGTCAGCACTGGGTCACCTGGCTTTCCTTAGCCATTGACTGAAGAAAACGAAGAGTTTTAAGCACAGATTGACCATTCAAACCTTAAGCTGACCATGGCGAATGTGTGTCTGAGTGGCTTGGGTACAGTTACTATGCGGTCATCAGATTTCCAATCTTATAGTAAGTATTGATGTGGATGTGTTGAAATGCAGGGTGTAGGCATCTTGTTACAGGGTGCTACAATTTGATAATTTGTGAAAGTGGGATAGAAGACAGGCATTGTTATTTTTAGGGTTGTGGCTGGATTTGATCTCTGCCTTAGAGAATCAAATAGACGCTCAACCCTCCTGGATTCCCAAAAGGATATGGTTGACTTTT